ATATATATATATATATATATATATATATATATATATTTCTTGCCATGGCTCACAGGCATGCTAGTACTTCCATAGAGCATTTGTGTAAAATTTTTAAAAAGTGTCGTCTATCGTGGGTAAGTTGCAAAACAGCACCCTCCCTTCTGGGCAAACAAATTAGAATATGTACCCCCTTCTGGGCAGACAAATGAGAAAAGCGTAACCCCTCTGGGCTGGCCAGTTATTATTTAAAGTGCCACTCCAGGTACACCTAAAACTAATATACTATTGTATGTCAACTATAATTGAAAAATAGTTTTTAATTTAAAAATAAATAGAATAAAATAAATAAAAATAAAGGCCCTCTCAGGGCACATGGCTTGGCAAATCCACGCAGCCCCAGTGGCTCCCCTTGGGCATGCCCCCTTATGCAAAACACAACCTACATGACTGCATGTGGCATCCCTGCTTGCAGATACCACTTTCCTAATTTTGTAGTTAGACTATAGGGTTTGATCCTTGGGGCTCTAAATATATCTCTTTGGTCAAAGCAGTGCACCCCCACTTCAAATATAGTGGCCTATTACAAGAGCCTAGGGTTGACATAATGCCAATGCAGCACCACATTTAAAAATGAAAGTTGGTGAGAAATTGTGTAGCAGACACCACGTGGACCCTTATCACCTGGATGATTACCTCTGAATGCCCAGGGCTGTTCACTGCAAACACCTGCCTCTCTCTGCCAAGGGTAATACTCTGACCTCGGGAACAGATAGGACATGGTAGATGGAAAGACAGAGAGTTAGAAGGTTGGTGCCCTTAGAAACAGTCTTCAACCAGTGCTGCTGGGCAGGGGTTGGGAAACAATGGTGGGGCTACTGCCTCTGTGAGCCTCCAGCTGGCTGAGCCCTGTTTCTGACCACAGGAATGCCTGATAACCCACCTGTGATTGGTGTGAACCGGGACAGGTAAACTTCAAACTCCTAGCAATGTAGGGACAGTTTATATCAGATTCCTTTTCAGCAGCTACAGCCACCTCGAGAAGAGGGGATGAGGAACAAGCATGTTTCAGAGAAAAGGGAGCTCTTCAGGAAGACAAGGACTTGCTGAGATGCTATAGTGGAGGCCCCGGGCTGTCAGAGGCAGCCTGAGAGCCCATGAGGCTTAGGATGTCATTCAAGAGTTTTCAAATTCTTTCTATAAAAGATAGAAATAGCCCTAACCGGTTTGGCTCAATGGATAGAGCATCGGCCTGCGGACTGAAGGGTCCCAGGTTCGATTCTGGTCAAGGGCATGTACCTTGGTTGCGGGCACATCCCCAGTAAGGGGTGTGCAGGGGGCAGCTGATCGATGTTTCTCTCTCATCGATGTTTCTAACTCTCTATCCCTCTCCCTTCCTCTCTGTAAAAAATCAATAAAATATATATATTTTTAAAAGATAGTAAACATTTTAAGATTCGTGGACTTCTGTCACAACTATTCGTCTGCTGTTGTAGTGTGAAAGCAACCATAAGCAATCTATAAGCAGGGGGACATGACCATGTTCCAATAAAACTTTATTTACAAAAGCAAGTGGTGGGCCAGATTTGGCCTATAGGCATTTTTGTGACCCTAGCCTTAAGCAATCAAAGAAAATGAAGGACTCAAAAGGAAAAGTAAGAGGTAAGAAAACGCCCACACTTGATTGGACAATGTGCTTGCCAGCTTCCATCCATTCCTTCGTTTTATCCTCACAGCAGCCAAGTAGTTACAGTTTTATCATCCGCATTTTAAAGATGAGGAAACTACATTTTCTAGAATGTAAGAAAATTGCCAAGGCCAAACAGTGCAGGTTCAAAACCAGATCTGTCTGGCTGTAATGCCTCTCTTCCTTTCTCTACTCCAAGCTGATGCCTGCAGACACATTTGTCTTATGCAACCAGCAAGGAACGCCCACTGGAACCAGAGTCATTAAATTCCAGATTTGGCGATAAGGGTGGAAGTGTCAGAGCAGGGTCTCCAGGGTCTCAAAAGATTCTCTGAGAATGTTAAAGCAATGGAGGGAGTGGGCAGGGTGACCGCTGGGTCCACCACCAGCCTTCACAGTGAGACCAGCCCTAGCACCCGGCATGTGGCACGTGTGAACCTGTGCCATTGGTGGCCACACAATGCAATGCCTCAGATATGACAAGCCAGAAGATTCTGTGAAAATACGTAAGTCCTTTGTCCTTTCCTGGCTGAGTGTGCAGGCAGGCCATCTGATGCAAAAGTGCACAGTGCAAGCAATGGCCAAACCCGTTATTATTAAACTTTCTTGCTAAGAGTTAGTCTAGCCTTTTTCTCTGGCTACGCATTCAAATTAAGTTCAGAAATAACTCCCAGGGAAGCCCTGAGGTCAGTTTGGATTCAGCCCAATCTTCTCACTTTCTGCGTGATGGTACAATGATAACTCAATTCTTAATGATGACTGAATCATCCTGATCCTGAATCATCAATGATTAGATTATGTTCACTAAACATCTAGTCTTTTCTAAAGCAACAAAATAGACTAATGCATTTTAGGAAGAAGTTATAAAAGAGTTTAAACCAAAACAAGTCATTCTACCTGGGATGACCAGAGCGTTAAGTTTACAGAAACACCACTTTCCCCCAAATGTCAGTGTTAATGGCTAGCTTAGGAAATTCCAGGATAATTCAAGACCAGTTTAACTTATTCCTGTACACAAACAATTTCGTGAAAGAAAACACCATAATTCAAATCAATAAATGATTTGGTTTGAGCTATAAAACTATAAACCGAGCCTTTGCAAAATGTTGCTTACTGTTCTTTCTTGCTATAAACCATTTGATTTTCAGCCAGAAAACATACAGCCAAATAATCACAACTGTATGCTTTCCTTAATACTCAGTGTAGACTGTTATGTAAGGAATTGAGTGTTAGTCATCAAAATCATTGTAAAGACAGCAAAATACTTAGAATTCCTAAGTTATCATTTATTTCAACATTCAGAGGTGAAATTGACCCCAGACAATACACAGTCTTTCTTCTTGTTGTAAAAATGACCTCAGAGTTCCTTGGATTCTCAACTAGCAGTTCCACTGTCAGAACTCCCAAATTCCTCTTGAGAGCCCCCACCCACTTCAAGACAAACCATTTGCCCCAGAAATGAGCACCAAAAGGCCTCATCCCAGACCACAGGTTATGATTATGACCCAGAAAGGTGAGCCAGGGTGGAGAGCATGTGAAACAAACACAAAGGTGCAGAAAATTTTGACTTGATTTTTCTCTAACTGAATTTAATTCCTATTCCTATCTGCCAGGATAATTACACTGATGGGAAAAAAAAAAAAAAAAAAAAAAACAACCTTGACTTTGGTCAACTCAGGTTTTCCCCCAACCCTCCTGTCTCTAGAATTTCCCTCCAGCTTCAAGGGTAAACATAACATTAAGGAGAGGGATCTGGGTCCTGATGCTCGCGTCTCATCCTCGGTCCATCCTGGACTCTCCTGCTGCATGCATTCCATGCCTACTGGAAAGTCAGTTCATGCAGATCATGCCTGAACCCTGGATCCTCATTGTCCTGACCACAGATCTTTCTGGGCCAGTTGGTTCTCACTGTTTGTCCTCACCAATCAGCCTCCTAAAGAAGATTGTGCTGTTCCTTGCTCCGGACAGAGGATCACAGGAATGCAGAGTGGGGCTACCTCAAGCTCCCCAGCTAAGACACCTCACAGAGCCACTTTGATTTGCAGTTTCACTCTTTGTCCAAGGATGAGTGAGTCCCAGACTTCTCTGAAGTTGGACATTCCAACATAACCCATCCCACTCCAAGAGCACAGCTCCGAAGAAAGAGGTAGCACTCAGGGCCCCTTTGAGGACCCCACAATGGCTACTTATGCTGAATTTTCTACCTAACTCACCCTAGACCAGGAAATTTTAATCTCTATGGAGAAACCAATCAGGCTTAACAATAGTCTTCCAAATCTACTGTTTAAGTTTCAACCTCAGCTTTGAAACCCGAAAGAAAATATATTAACTTGTGTTTCTCTTGATATTCCTACCCCACCAACTCTGCCTAAGAATGCTCTCATCTCAAAAATTCAAGGAATATTAGGGGTAACCAAACTTACTTAGGGAAGGCAATAAATTACTATTTCAAAATGGTATCGATCAAAAAAACTGCATATTTTAGACTCTTAATGATATGCTTTTAAAAAATATTTCTGCTGTAACCTTATAGCAGCTCATGTATCCCCTTTCAACAAAACAGTAAACTGCATAAATGACTGCGGTTGATGTTGAGGTTGGTATTCGGGGCTTGGGCAAGGGTTTAACATCCATAAGCATGAGAAGGTAAGCCCCAAGTCAGTCGGAAGCAGGGAGCTGGGCGTGAGTCTTCCACATAAAGCAAGAAAACTCTAAAGGCCATCTCACTTGTGACATGAGAATTAGAAATTCTGGCCATCAGTTCAAAGAAACTTAGCTTAAGCCCTAGATTCCAGGTAAATCCCATTTATCCAAAAGGCATAAGTCCTGGAGAGCGTAATACTCAAAATCATTAACTCTGAGGGCCTGAAATAGAATGCGATGAGGAAACCTCAAAAAAGGGGATAGCCGGTTTGGCTCAGTGTATAGAGCATCAGCCAGCAGACTGATGCTCTATCGTTAATTGAAGTTCAATTCCCCTCAAGGGCACATGCCTCGGTGGCAAGCTCCCGGCCCGGGGCATGTGCGGAAACAACCAATCAATGTGTCTCTCCCATCAATGTTTCTCTGGTCTCTACCCCTCTCTTTCACTCTCTGTAAATCAGTGAAAAATGTCCTCAGGTGAGGATTAACAAAAAAAAGGTGGGGGTAGGGGGATAAAAAGCTCCAAAGACACATTTCAGCTCTGTCACCATTTGACAAGGGCTGGTCCAGAGCAGAACATTAACACAGCATGTGGGGAGGGACTAGCAGCCTGAAACAGTTGTATCGCAGCATTTTCTCTTGCCTGTGCCTCTGGCTTTATTGACCCAGTGAGCCCCCTTATGTTTTTCAGAATGCCGAAGCAAGTTATGACTTCAGTAGCAACGACCCCTATCCTTACCCTCGATACACAGATGACTGGTTTAACAGGTAAACTGGGCCTAATGAGGTGTCTTTGGCTTTAGGTTTGGGGTTTTATTCTGTTTTGTTTTTTCTTTGTTTTGTTTTTAAGGCTTGAAAATCACAAGCAAAATAATCTCAGTGCTTCACTAAATTGTGTTGTGACTTTTCCTCTTTGTGGCTACATTCTCTAAATTCTTGGATTTTATTTTCTAACATTGCACTGCTCCTGTAGAATTATCTGTTGAACTAGGAATTGTTTGCCGCTGTATTAAAGATAGAAGGAAATACGAATAAGAAGAAAGCCTGTCTGAACCCACCAAAGGGTGATTTAAAACATGCTGATTTCACTTGATCTGTGGAAACGATTGTAGAGAATTTCTTTTTGCCCGACAGGGTCTGTGTCTGTATGTTTTTGAAAAGTATTTCTGCTGTAACCTCATGCAGGTCATGCAGTCCCTTTCTCAAAACAAAACTGGCAAAGGTCTGAAGTATTGCCCAGCATGGAAAACTATCCAACGTCTACCTATTTTCTTCAGTCTTTGTGGCTACTACACATGTAAATGCAGCCTCCTTTTTCCCCCAAGTAACATTCTTGTCTAAATGGTTAATTACATATAAGAAATACCAAGAAATAAAGATGTATGGCTTGCTCAACCAAAGACTGCTATACTTTTTAAACCTAGTGCTTCCCTATTATTGATGCTCTTGGGTGAAATTTATGAGAACATATGAATTTCAATTAGTGGTATAAAAATATATTATGTGTACAGCACCTTACTCATTTCTTTTACTTCTGGTGACAAACTCATGGCCCATAAAACAAATGTTGTAATTCTCAGTTTAGTGATAAGAAAATAGGTTTAGAAAGGGAAAGTGACTTCCCTGGTCAAACAATTAGTATATGTCAAAGTCCACACTTGAATCCAAGCTTCATAAATGACCCTAATTCCAACTCTTACCATCTTTTTATAAGCATCATTTTTATTACAAAAGAGAGGAATCATTATGGCCAGAGAGTGGCCAGGTAGCTTAAACTCTGTACCTAAAATTAACAAGTTGACCAGAGAATGTCTAGGATGCAGACAAGGCATACAGGTTGAGGGGCTTGGCAATTACAGAAAATGCAGGGGGGGGGGGGAATAAAGAAAAACTACAATTCAATTTTGCAACATTTTTTAAAGATCATACCTGATGTCCAATAGCACAATTCACTTTCTATCAGCTTCTCCTACAGCTTTAAAATTATAATGCAGTATTTGGAAGTGTGTTTAGGGGGTGAGGATATAATAAAACATCTGAGAACTTCTGACATAACGTGTCTCTTACCCCCATGACTTATAATCCTAGCATACCCTTAGCAAATAAACCATATTCTGACACAGGGATGTGACGTTACTAAATAGATGTCACTAAGCCAGGGGTGAGCTGTGATTGGAATGATGGTCTGGAACACTGTGTTGAGAAGGACCAGGAGGGAGTGCCTGGCTTCAGTATGATTGGTTACCAGTTGTCCACTCGACCTCAGAAAGGGCAGTAGCAACATGTGTGCCAGCTATTTGCCATCTCTCTGCAACTAGTAGGTACTAAATTTACCTTTGATAGAATGATTCAGGCACAAAAATATAACCGACAGAATGGCTTTCTCCCTTACCCCATTTTCTGAATCCAGCACAACCTTCCCCAAAGCAACTCTTCCTGTGTGATATACTATAAGATTATTCTTTTTTTTAAAATGATGACTCCTACATTAAAATTGTTAATTTTCAAATGTGTTCTTGAAAATACAATTTTAAACTAGCTAAAATCTTCTAGCTAGAACTAATTAGTATTTAGTGCAATAAAATTTTTCATTGTCACTGGTAAAAATTCTCAAGTGTCCAATTGCCTGAGACACAGTCATAGTGAGTCAGATTAGCATGATCTTTGCCTCTTAGGGAGCCAATGACTCAAGACACAGTGTCCACTGTGACCAATAAATGGGACTTTTCCCAATGATCAAGTCATTTTCAAAGATCCCCATCCAACATGACTTGTTGCAAAGATTAGATGGTACCACAATTCAAAGCATGGCCTCTCAAAACATAACTACTCTTGTAAATGATTATGGGAGGATGATGGGTCAAAGTTCAAGCCCACGGCTCTGGAAGGATCCATAGTCTGAAAGCTTGAGTCTGTCCTCAAGATGATTCCTGTGTGGCACAAGAATTAAAATAAAGCAGACTTCCCATGAGTGTAGGATACATTTACTAAAAATTCCTCCTAAGATGAAATATTTTGATGGATATTTTCTTCAATATAACTTAGGGTTTGGAGCAGGAAGGAGGAGAATGATTGGATGTACAGAGGAAATAAAATTGGCCATGAGTTAATAATTGTTACACCAGCTGATGGGTATATGAATCCACTCTACTCTTGTATATCTTTGATATTATCTATAATAAGAAGTAAATTTGAAGAGCATATGGCATAAAAAGAAGCTTAAAAAAGTGTTGGAACTTTAATTCAGTACTCATGGAACTGTTAGTTTTGGTATGCAAGCTGCTAAGGAATTTGCAGTGTCATATGAGGAGGTGATAGATGCCCAAATCACTACAGGGTTAAGTGTAGCCAGAACTTAAAAAAAAAAATAGAAAGGAAGGAAGGAAAACACAAGGGAAGCAAATACATATTAAGCAGTCACTATGTTTAGGGCACTATTTTAAGTGTTTTGCATGTATTAATTCAATTCTCATAATAATTATCTAAAACAGACATTATCATTATTTTTCCCATTTTGGAAACTGAGGCACAGGAAGGTTAAGCAAGTTGTGTAACATCACTTAGCAAATAAGTGGTGGAGACAGGCTTTGACACTAGTGAGGGGGCTATTACACGCACTGCCTCACAATAAAGATGCTTTGGAGAGAAATGCAAACTCATGTCTGGCTGGGGCAGTTGGGACAGACTTCCTTGAAGAGGTTGCATTTAGTCTAGGATTTTAATGAAGGCAATAAGCAGAGTTGGTGGGGAGTGTATCCCGGAGTGTGGGTACAATTTAGGTGAAGAGGTGAAGGCAGGAGGTGTATGCATGTTCACAAGGTGGCCTGGGTAACTGGGCTGGGATTTAGAGACTGGTGCGTGGGCAGCGTTCTAGGAAGACTTCACAGAAGAGTGAGCATGAGAGGTTCAGACAGGTTTCTAGGAGAAAGAAGGCGAGATTCTGTGGTTGGGTAGGAAACTGGGTCAGAGACATAGACAAGGACCATCCTCCATTGCACCCAAGGAATGTTGCTCCCCAAAGGCTCCAGGAGCCTTGAGCCCCACACTTGCCTTGGTCAGGTTCACTACCAATCCAGCACTAGTCTCTGGATAGCTATGCAACCACAAAGACATGCTGTATTCTCTTCTGGGCATGGGCATGGGCATCATACCTGACACCCCATCTCTGCCCAGCAGACGTTGGGCTCTTGAGAAATGCTCACTTAAGCATGACTCTGATAAAGGGCTGACTGATGTTGACCGGCAATGGGCTTGGGGCTATTGACATTCCAGTCACACCACCTGCTACAAAGGCCAGTTAGGGCTCAGAAGCAATTGCTGCCCAGGAAAAGGCAGCGGCTCTCCCTCACAGGGTTCTCATTGCTGTGAAAAGTAGAAAATAAAATGCACTACAAGGGGCTCTCTCAAGCAAGCAAATAAAATGTTTTCCTTGCATGGGAAACCAAGTTCAAGCGCAGTGAGTCTCTCCTGAGCTTCCCTGATAGTCTTAAACACCATATCATCCCCTCTGTACTAATTTGTTAACTTGTTTTCCTTCAAGTGTACATTTATTTAAGAACATATTTAAAACTCCAAACCAAGGACTCTATGAAAGCAAACTTCCTATATATGCAAAACTGCTTTCAGCGGATCTGTATATTAGAATTTCTTGCCCTGTTCTTAATTTGACTTTATAGGATTATTTCTTTTTAAGCAGAGCAAGTGTATTTATTCTACTGTGAACCATTTAATAATTACATGCAGTATCTGGGCTCTGGGGATATATTTAAACAGTTGAAAAATTTGCAAAAGGAGTATAATTTCCTCCTAGTTTACAATCAGAGAATACAGATGGCCAAGCAAAATAATAATAACAGTAATAATAACCCAAATTGCAAAAAGAGAGGAAATAATACACAATTAATGAGCATCAACAATGTGCAAAACTTATATAACTGATTTCCTGTGAGGTATGAGGATCTAGTACCACATTTTTTTCTTTGCTGGCATTCAACAAATATTGATTGGCTGGTTGACAGAAGGATGGCATGCCTTCTCAGCTGGGCCGAGATGTTGAGTAGCCTTGACATCTGTCCATGTTAGAGCTGCCTGCCCCTTCCAAGTTTTGCAGCCCTTGCTTTGTCAATAATCTTCCATCGTTGCTTGGTTTTAAGTCAATATTCAGTGATGCATTGCAGATCCGCATTTCATTACTGTGCTGCTGTCCATAAAAGTCCCTCTTGCATAACATTTATTTGACAAGCATTCGACACTGAAATGTCATCCCTGCCATCGGCAATATTTAGGGAGCATCACAGGGCGCAGCACACTCTATCGATAAGCCCTAAAGAGTAAGAGATTCCGGATTAGATGCAATTCCTGGCTGCCAAAAATGTACTATAAATTCAGGAAGAGAGAGGACATTTATTACTCAGGCAAATGGGGGGAAGGAGGAAGGAAAAATGGATGATGAGAAACATTTATCTCTATGTAAGTTCCTTTGATTGATAGCATTAGTTAAACCTTCAAATAATAAAGAATTTCCATGATTAACATTTTTTTCTTATTAAAAGTCATATTTCATTTTGAAGAACTCTGTGTGACAAGCCAGAGAAGAACATGTGAGAAAAGTGGGCCTTCTCTGGTTGGCTATTTGCACACTGACGGAAACTGATACTTTACCCTGGTGACACTTAATGGTTTAGAAATAGACAAACATCTTTTCCTTCTGTCTTTATACACAATTCTGTAAGCACCTCCTGGATAATAAAATTCAAACTGCTTTCCAA